CCTTTTCCTCCCTCCTTCTCCCTGTCCCTCCCTCTGTCTTCTTCCCTCTTCTTCCTCCTCCCTCGCAAAATGAAATGAACCTTGTAAATTGGTTTCAAGATCATAACATTTGGAAAAGCAATCTTACCTGTCATTTCCTTCCCCATCAAAGTCACTCGCCTGTGGCTTTCCTACATTATTTCCATGATGTATTATTCTTGAAGACAAGTGACAGCCACACACACCCTCTCCCCAGAGGGCCCACTTGCCTGTGCCTTTAGCAGATCCATAGGTTTGGTGTGTGAAGAGTAATCAGGTCATGCTGGCCGATGCTGCAAGGATGTACGACTTGCTCTTAGGACAGGTGCCTGACTCTTGTCCTGAGGGCAGCTAGTCTTAATAGCAGTGTCCCTTTAGTCTGGCGGAGGGAAGGCTTTCCAGCGGACATGCTTCTCATGAGCTGCTGCAGGAAGAAGTGAACAGAAACAGCACTGCAGGGACCTTAGGAAGTGAGCAAGAAAATCGTGCCGCAATCTTGCCTTCGTTTACTGGTACTTCTCAGTTGTACTTTTCTGCTGACTCAGGGAAGGAACCAAACTGGAAACTGTGATAGCGATCTTGTGTAGGACAGTGACCTTTTATCTCTGATCTGGGTGGGGCAATAAACACGTGTCTGTGACTCAGGAAAGCGGAGCTGGTGGGCTTTCTTCCACAGCAAATTCCCCGGGGTCATGCGAGCCCCTTTAGTCTGAAGTGACACATAGCACCGTGCAGATAGCGGCGCTTGTCACTCCTTCAGGAGTCCGAAGAATGGTTGGAAGACTTACCTCAGCGCGTTATGTGCACTTCCTGGTGTGATCACAGGCCAGAGACTCTGGCGCCTCCGCCATTATTAAGCTTGTTTGGTTAGTTTGTGGCCCATAAAGTGCCCGTACAGTGGCTGGTTCCCACACCTGGCAGTGAGCAGTTCCCGCGGTGGAGGGCGTTGACCTTATATCATCCACCCAGGCAATAGCTTCTGAGGGTCATCGGTGGAGGTGCCTTCTGTCCTCCTTAATTATGGGTTGAGGAGGGCAGCTGTGAAGTGGCAGTGACTCACTGCTGACCCACACTTAGTTCAAAGACGCTGGCAAGTGTCTGATCTGTGGCTAATCTTGCCGGCCATCCCAGCTCGCCAAAGTAGTATTTATGGAATCAGAGTACCTACCTGTTAAGAGGACTTGGCTGAAGCAGTAAGTAGCTACCATTTGGTTTATCCCTTTCGTTAATTTCTACTGGGTTTTGTTTTCTTTCCCGTCGGACTTGATTTTGGTGGCTGATAGTTTCTGCTAAGACAATAAATTCCCAGATACAAGCAGGAAGCCACTGAGCTCCTGTCCCTCAGGAGGCTAGTGATTGGGCTGAGGCGGTGTTGTACTGCCACCTTGTGGTTTGAAATGGCATCTGCTTTTGAAGTAAATCCCAGGGGCTTTTCTGGATTGACTTGCTAATTCACTAACATCAAAAAATGGATATTTTTTAAACGACAGGAGATTATCAAGCTTTCAGTGAAAAACTAAATAACCAAAGTCACTTCCAAGAGGATCCACAATAGGAATCCCATAACCTCGAACTGGCCAAAAGGCAAGTTCCTAAATAACCCAAAATTATATCAAATTAAGGAATGGAAAAAGCACCATGGCCTCTTATTCAGCAGTACCATGTTTTTGTTAAATTATAATGTCCAGCCATGATGGTACCTCAGCACAACCAATGACGAAGTCCGTCCAGTCGTGGCAGGACTCAGCCCATCTACACACATGGGACGCGGTCTCCCTGCATGCATGGGGAAGTCAATGCTGCTGCAGAAATGGGGAGGTCAGCCCCCCTGGGGACATGAGGGCACCCTGGGAGGAGGGTGAGGCCGGCCCATGTACCCCCAGAGGGGCAGAGCCAGTGGTCCTGTGTCCCCACACTGACGGGGTGCTAGGAGGAAGCATTTCTGACTCAATTGTAGATAAGCTGTCAAAATGTGAGGTATCAGCAACAGAGACTGGGCAGTAGGGCTGTGAAAACAGGTGCAGAGGAGGCCAGGAGGGAGGGCAGCAGGTCCCTAACATGGGACTGGCCCCCACCCCGGGCACTGCGGTGGCAACAGAAGGTCGTGGTGTGCCTCACACGCACACTCCCCTAGGAAAGGTTGTCCCTGCCCTGCCGCCTTCCTCCCCAGTGCGCCCCCCTCCGCCATCCTGCAGAGTGGCCACGGAGTCCTCTGCTGTGGAAACCCGAACAGTGGGACCCCCAGCCCTAGACATATGCTGCATCTCACTCAAAAACCTGCACTGGAGGATTATTCATTTCATTGTGAGATTTTTGTCCCTGATGGGAACTTTGTGAAAAACTGTTTCTTTGAGCAGCTTTTCAGAAAATTCTAATTGAAGGGGAGTCAGCCAGGAGTTTTGACATATTTGCCGTGAATTCCACTCTTTATTCAGCAGCTTGTGGGAGTCCCTTTGGGCCTTGTTCTCCCTGCACTGTCCTGAGCGACCGGCACCCTACACCCTCCATCCTGCTCTGTCTGCCTCCCGTGTTGAGAAAGAGAAGAGCAAGGAGAGGCGAGAAACGGTACAGAAAGGCAGAGGCGCTGCAGACCTGTGGAGGCTTGCTGCATGGGCCTCCGCGTGCGCTCATTCACACAGCCAGCGCTTTTCTAGGCACGTAGCACCCTATCAGGGGGCAGTGATTGATCTGTGGACGAATGAGGGAACAAACAAATCTCTGCTCGAGGTAGGTCATTTGTATGCTTCCTAAAAGTATTTTATGGTTTGGAGCAATACTGTATATAAAAAGCTATTTCATCTGTTTTCTTAGGTCTCCCTGACTTAAGTGCTTGCTAGAACGTATTTTCATCTTCTGTTGTAGGGCCAATTTGTAGACTCAGTTTAAAGTGAATTATTGTTTGCATCAACAAATCATAAGGGAGACGGCGGTTATTTTCATTCATTCCAGCTATCCAGGGCAAACATGCAAAAGCAATCCGACTTTATTACTGCATGCCTGTAGTATTTCCAGATATAGTATATATATAGTATATAACCAAACAGAAGAAAAAAGTGCTATGTTGTTGAGGAAGTCCTGATTTATACATTCTAGAGCATTACAAAGAGGAGTTCGTGTGGACTTATAGCCTGAGGAAAACGTTTCACTTCATTGCCCAGAATTCTCCGCACAAGCACTATATATAAAAGTGTCTCATTCTTCAGTTTTTTGTTATTATTGACCTTGCATAGTCAAATAAAGGGAATCACCTTTTACCTGGAAGAATTTTGATCTGGCCTTTGCCAAAGTGGTTTCCACAGAGCTCCTTTCGTATATGCACTCTGAGAAGGTCAGGTGGAGCTCTCACTAAAGCAAAGGACAATGTAGACGTTGATACCTGTTTCAAGACAAACATTGTAGGACCTGGCTCAGCAAATCAAAGCACATGCAAACAGGCGCAGGGGCCGGGGTTTGATTCCCAGGCCTGCTGTGCTGGCCCTGCCCCCAGGGCATGCTGAGATGGCAACTGAGACTGGGCATGGTGACACACACCTGTAATCCCAGCTCTTGGGAGGCTGTAAACAGGCGGATCATTCCAAGTCTGGTCTAGTAGTGAGACCCTGAACACGCTGTAGAACCTTCCCTAAAAATACAAAAAAAAAAAAAAAAATTACATTGACTTCTGATCCATTATTCTGTGACAAAAATATTTGGCTTTTTTGGTTTTTTATTCACCACATGAAGCTCCAGTGTTTCAAGTTAGAATGTTCTAGATCTCACAAAGTTATTCTTTAAACAAGGCCTGTCTGATGACAGGTCATCGTCATTAACCTAATGTAACTATTTTCAAATTCTCTGTAATATTAAAGCCATCTGACTGTTCTCATAGGAGAATTGAGGTCAGAGCAGGAAGCATCTAGTTGCTTGTTAGCCAACAAGCAACTAGATGCTAAGAGCATAGGTGTTGGGTCAGGGGAGCCCAGGCCTGCGGCTGATGCTTGGTGCAAGTTTCTTCTCTCCTGGGACTCAGGCTTCTGTCTGTGAAGCAGGGTCTGATGTGGGATAGCAGTCATTAAAGGTGGGATGCATTAGAGCAGAGTCCCTGGCACATATGAGCTCAGTAGAGTGTGCTAAGTGCAGCTGTAGAGGCCTCAGCTGTAGCTTTGGTAAATGGTCTTATTTGCTGTCTGGGTTGTAAGTACCTGCTTCCAAATGTTCATGTGAAAATACAGCTCTGGGTGCCCATAGCAGCTCAATGGAAACCAGTTCCGGAAATAAAGTAGGTATTTATTACCAGCTAGGTAGCTGTGTGTGCAGGTGAGGGGAGAGACTGCATCCTTAGTTGAATTGACCTGCAGCTTTCTAAGAGAAAAATGGGTCTGGGGACTTGTGGAGATAAACAGTGGCAGTGAGGGACAGGTGATGAGCTGCATGCTTGCAAAAGCTTTATAATAAATTTTTCATCATTCTGGTTTTTTAAAAAGTGAATCCCAATAAATATGGATCTATTTACTGTGGAATAGTTGAGACCGTACTTGAGGACGTAAAGAAACGTATCACAATAACGCGCCTCGGTTGCTTCCAGCGCCGTGCCGGGCATTGGTGCCTTCAGGCCGCAGACACAGACTTGGCCAGAGTCAGGCTCAGGTCGAGGCTCCCTGACTTTGTCCTGAGGCCTCACTCCTGACAGGAAACCAAGTGCTGGTTGAGTATCTCTTCTCTGAGGAACAGAAATATTTGTGTTGGGAATTTCGGGGCAATTTTGGAACATTTGAAGATATATAGTGAGATATGTAGGGAAAGGGCCCACGTCGAGGCGGGAAGTTCCTTTATGTTCCCTATTTACCTCATACAAGGCCTGCAACTAATTTTACTCCTGTTTTTAGTGCTCCTGGGTGTGACTGGGGCCATCCCGAGGGTCACAGAGGTGTCAAAGAGTTCTGGTGCAGGGGGCTCTGGTGCGGCACACAGGAAGCAACGTCCTAACGCCTTGCTCTCTGCAGGAAGACGTGGTGCCCTGCCGCCCATGTGGCTGTGTCTGAGCGACTGACCTCTCCGTCAGCAGCGCTGTTTCCTGTTCCACCATGGGACCTCCAGGCAGTATGCTGAGCGGCGGACAGACGCAGGTCGTCCTGTGGGGAAGTCTGGCCGCCATCGCCTTGTTCTTCCTTATCGTCCTCGTCGTCTTTCTGTGCTCCAGCTGTGACAGGTAAGGGCAGCGCACGTCATCAGGAGCCTCGGCCTGTTCTCCCCATGGGTCCTCTGCTTGTCCCCAGAGGCTGTGACTGCGGATGAGCTGTGGCTCTCAGGCCCTGGGTCTTCATTGATCAAGAGAAGATCCATCTAGACTGTGTGAGGGAGCAGCACGAGGCCCTCATATTTTCAATTTCCTGGAGTAAAATTCTTGCTGTTCTTCTGCAACACATCTTTGTCCAAGTTTTTTTAACCTGTGTAACACTGAAATCTTAAGTGTGGTATACACTTTTCCACTGTAAGTGATTGAGGATTTTTGGTATTACGTGGTTTTGGAAGGATCACTCATTATTAAAAATACATAGCAAGGGCTGGCCAGATAGCTCAGCGGACTAAAGCGCCTGCTTAGGTAGAGCACAGCGACCAGGGTTCGATCCCCAGTGTGCCGTGCCAGCCCCACCCCCAGGGTGTGTTGAGACAGCAGTGGAGACTGGGTGTGGTGGTACATGCCTCTAATCCCAGCACTTGGGAGGCTGAACACAGGCGGATCAATCCAAGTCGATCTATGTAGTTAGACCCTGTATGCTTTTTTTTTTTTTTTGGTGGAACCGGGGATTGAACTCAGGCCCTTGCGCTTGCCAGGGTAGCACTTATTCCACTGAGCCATCTCCCCAGCCCCATGTAGACCCGGTAGACCCTGTCCTAAAATTTAAAAAAAAAAAAAAAGAAAGAAAGAAAGAAAGAAGGAAGGAAAGCCTGATGTCAGTCCAGGAGTGTGTGTCTGTAATCCCAGCACTTGGGACAACGAGGTGGGAGGATCCCAAGTGCAAGTTGAGGCCAGTTATGTGGCAAGGCCATGTCAGAAACAGAAGGGGGTGGGAGGGCATTGCAGTTTCTGAAGTAGCAGATCCACTTTTCTAGAAAAGAGACCTACCATATATAGGGTGATCACCAGTATACATTGTCGGTTTTGTTTTTTAATTATACTTCTGTGTCCTCTACCTCATGTAAAATGCCAGTACCACCCCCCAAGAGATCTTTGCTCAGAGAGAAGCAAGCTCTTCCCATGCAGGGTGACTCCTGCAGACCCTAGGAGCGGATGCTTTTGTGCAGCCACTGCTGTTGTGCTAGCAGCTGAGCCAGCTGTGCTCCACTCTCCTCTGACCCTCAGAAGAAATTTGGCCAATGACACATAAAAGTCTGACGCGGCTTCCTATCCTAAATTCTGTCAGGAGGGGGAAGCCAGTCTCTGGCCCCAGGGAGCCTCCTAATCTGGCACAGTTCTCTGTCCAAGTCTGGGGCCCTAGATGTCCTGCTGCTGCCGTGCTCATTTTCCCTCTAGGTGGCGCCCTGTCCTCAGACACAGGTGGCCATGGCTCCCCTGCCACCCTTAGCTTTCTTTGGAGTTCCCCGAGTAAAAATATTCTATTTTTACTTGACAGGCTTTTCCACAGACTAGAAGTGTTTATGACTCATCCTGAGAGCATGTAGCCTTCCTGATGTGCCAAACTGTGCACTGTATTTCTGTCCCCTTGCAGTGTGTAACGTTTTACACTGCGGGTAAGGAAATAATTGACTGGGCTTCCTAAGGGAAAACTGGTGCACCTCATTTCCTCTCGTAGATGCCTAGCCTCTGGGCAGCACCCTGCCTCCTGCTCCCAGTGTGGACTTCTAGCCTTCCCTCCTGGAGGAAGGGAGCTTGTGAGAGGAGCAGGCCCTCGTGTGGCTTATGTGGCCCCATTTCCTTGGGGCCCCAGGAGGTGGAGGCTGGGTCTTTTCCTCTGGCAGCAAATAAGCATGGCTGTTAAAATAGGACAGTCAGAAGTGGAGGCCCGGGATTGCAGCACACACTCGAAAGCCCAACTACTCTTGAGACGGAGGCAGGAGAATTGCGGATTCAAGGCTGGCCTGGACCGCTTAGTGATTTTGTGAGCCCCTGTTGCAGAACAAAACATACAAAAGGGTTGGTGGCTCGAGGGTAGAGCACTTGCCTAGGACATGTGAGCCCCAGAATTCAGTCCCTGGGGCTGCCAAAAAAAAAAAAAAAATGTGCTATTAGGCTAGGAAAGGGTAGTGTGTGTGTGATTCTAAGAGGCACATTTGACATGGAGCAACATTTTACTTTCCATTTCAGAGAAAAGAAGCCAAGACAGCACAGCGGAGACCATGAGAACCTGATGAACGTGGTGAGCGTGTGTGTGTGTGTGTGTGTGTGTGTGTGTGTGTATGAGCACGCATGCACGTGTGCATGTGTGCACGCACATACCTGTGTAGGTATACATGGTTGTCCTTAAAACATCAGCTGCTTAGCATGTCCCCACTTTGTGGTCTCACGACGCTGGGGACAGCACTAAGTGGGGATGTGCTGTGAGTGCCAGGCTGCACCCTCCTGCTAAGGTTTGAGATCACGGTGAGGAGGCCTGTGCAGCTGGCCAGGTTGCAGAGAGAGACTGAAACGCATGATTAGCGCAGCCCCCGGAGAGACCCTCCGAGGGCGCCAAGCTGCCGCAGCAGTGTTGCTGTTTGGCTCTGCCCAGCTCCAGTCTGCTGTCACAAACCAGGTAATTGAGGTAACAAACCATTGCCTCTGGTGCTGGAGGCCAGGAATCGCCACACCAGGGCGCGGTCCGGGTTGGTCTGTTCTGGGCCTTCCCAGAGCTTCTGGGGTTGGCCTGTGGTCTCTGGCTGCCTATGGAGGCGAAGCGCCAACCTCTGCCCTCATCTTCACCCCCATTCTCCCTCTGCCTTTCACCGTTCCCCTCTCTGCCCATCTCCCAGGTCTAGCTTCCCCTTCTCAGGAGGAGCAGACATACTGCACAGGGTGGAGGTCCTGCCCTCCTGTGCCTTCACCCTCGCCAGTCTCATTTGCAGTTACTGTGTTTCCAAATGAGGTCCCATCTTGAGGTGCCAGAGGTTAGGACTTAGATGAGAGCTGGGGGTTGAGGGAGGAGACCTCACCCAGCACAGCTGGTTATGAAGCTCCTCGGCTCCTGGCACCCGCCACACTCTCTGTACAGCCTGGTTCTGCTGTGCCTTCCCTGGCCCTCAGCATCTCCTGGGCCCCTGGGGCAGGGGGCTCTGGCCAGGAGCAGCCCGAGACTCCTGGTCCTCCCCGTAAGTGACCAAGCTGTCCCGGCTGCTGAGCACCGGTCCAGCCTGCGCCTAGAATGGCACTAAACAAAAGGTGCTTCCTGTTCTCAACATCATCCCTCAAGGGCAGGCGAAGGCTGGCCAGGGAAGTGGGCAAAAGGAAGTGTGGGTGTAGCGGTAGATGCCATGAGATCTGGTGTCAGGCTCGCAGCCTGCGGATGGATTCGGAGCACACACAGGCCACCTGACCCGGAGTTTTGGGGATAGGAAGTTGTAAAGACCTTCCAGTTTCTCCTGCCTCTTCCTGTTCTGCAGCACCCACCTCACCAGCCACAGCACTCTGTGGGGCCCTCAGCAAGCTCCCCCAGGATCCCTTTCTTGCCTCCTTCCCTCCCTCTGTGTCATCCACATTGTCCCCATTTCTCATCTGTTCCTAGCATTCTCTCTGTCCGCAATAGCTACATGGGGAAATCAGAGGGGAAGAGTGAGGGGTGGAAGCGTGATCTGCACCCCAGATCCCCTATTAGCCAAGGCTTCCCAGTGGCAGCCACCCCGCAGCATCTGGAGCCTCTTGAAGAGTGGGAGTTCTTTGGCTGGGGACCCAGTGAGTTAGAACCAACCCTCCCGCTATTTCACAGCTATGCGCCAGTGTGAGAGCCACTGGCCAGGTCTCTGGACCCTGCTGTCTGCCCAAGGGTGGGCAGTAGCTGGACTGAGACAGAAAGGAATTAGCAGGTGAATGAAGGCACTAAGTTCATGAGCCACAGAGGATCCACTCAGGAAGAGGCTAAGGCCAGAGGACCTCAAGATTGAGTTCAGTCTGGGAAACTTATCAAGAGCCTGTTCCAAAATAGAATTTTAAAGGAGTTGGGGCCATAGCTTCCTGAGTTCAGTCCCCAGTACTACCAAATAAAAAAGGGAAGGAAGGAAGGAAGGAAAAAGAAGAATTGGCTCTCTGCACTTGCTTCTTCACCTCCAACTCCTTCATGCACCACCACACACCCTCCGTCTGACTGTGCACACCTACCTGGACGGAGAGCGCATACTGGCTGCACGCATGCCCCCAAAGGTGCGCACACAGTGCACAGAGCTCAGCTTTTGTCACTCATGTCCGGCTGCAGATTCTGCCTCCATGGAAGCTGATTGGATGTGGAGCTCAGAACCCAGGCTGTGTTGGGACATCATTTCTGGGATCCCAGCACTGCATATCAGGCCCCTCGCAAAGCAGTGGACTCCCAAGCAGGAAACCTGCACCGTGTCATCCAGCGTGGGCTGTGGGCGTCAGTGTTATTCTGTTCTCTGTCAGGAGTCAGAGAATCTGTGAGCCCATAGAGCCAAGGCTCCTGGGCTGTGTTCCTCTGAGCTTTCCATGTGGCATCTGGGAGCCTGAGGTCGCTTCTTGGGTCGCACAAGCCATGAGAACAGTGCGGTAGGGGCTGGACACAGTGATTCAGGCTACTGCTGAGACCAGCTGGGTATTCAGGCTACCTGTTGGAATGAACCTGTTTCTGCTGATCCCAGCGTGATAGCCAAGCTTGGAGCATGGTTCTAGGTAATACCTGAACACTCCAATCCAGCAGCACACTGGCATTGCCACGATCCTCCTCCCCATGTCCTGTGTTTATTGCTGAGAATAAGAAAGGTTAGCAACACTTGTTTTAGTTTGTGATTGTTTTGCGAACCTTGAAGCTAAAGACGTAGCTGCTCCGAAATAGTCTTTGCACTCAGCAGCATCAGCTGTGCTTGTCCCAATCTCAGTCTGTGCCCCGCGGATGACAGAGCAATTCTCTGTGATGTGGGCCAGGCATAGCCATAAGAAGAGCAGTTCACAGCACCACTACGGGATGTGGCTGCTCCCTCCTGGATCAGTTCTGACCAGCAGGGGATCTTCTGGTCCCCTCCCTGCCTGAGCTCAGGGGACTGAGACGTCATAACCTCCCTGTACCCATTAGCAGATCACCTGTTGGCAAGCTTTGCAGTGGCCTTGACGATTCCCAGTGAGACTCTAGAAGCCCTCTGTCCAGCAGAACCCTCTGTAATGTGCTTTCTGATGTGGTACTCAGCTGTTAAGCTACTGAATGTGACTAAGGAGCTCCACTTAATTTTGCTTTACCTACTTTAAATCTGAATACTCAATACTGGTTTTATTCTTCCTGTTTTCATTTTTGGGAAAGCCATGTGCGTTCTCCTGTGCCGCGCAGCCCGAGTCTTAGCAGTGTGGACATGTTTGTGTTTTGCAGCCTTCAGACAAGGAGATGTTCAGCCATTCGGTGACCAGCCTGGCGACAGATGCTCTTGTTAGCAGTGAACAGAACGGGGCACTCACCAACGGTGACAGTAAGTTCTGCAAAGAGTACCAGCTTCCCCCACTGGCCTCATCTCCTACCAGAGGGCTGGGTTTCCAAAACCATAGCTCAAAATCTAGGGAATGTGTTCTTGCTCTCTTTGAGTACAACTGGCGGTTTTAGGAAACATCTCCTTTGGATATCTGTTACCAAATATCTGCTTGCCAGGCATGGTGGCACACACCAGTGATCCCAGCACCCAGGGGACTGAGGCAGGAGGATCACCATGAGTTTGAAGACAAAACCCCACTTGGGCTACCTAGTGAGTTCAAGGCTTGAACCACACAGCAAGACCCTATCTCCAAAAAAAAAAAAAAAAAAGCAAACAAACAAAAATATCAACTCATGGCCTCCTATGTTCCAGGCCTTGCTCCGAGAGAGAGAGAGAGAGAGAGAGAGAGAGAGAGAGAGAGAGAAACAAGCACACACAGTAATTCACCTGAGCCCCATTAGACGACTTCTCAATCATAGTGCTAGTATTTTTATCTTCTAAACTAGCATTGTTATTCTCCACCATTTAAAGATGAGGAAACTAACATGTCATTTGTACTATAACAAATGACCACATACTTAGTACCATAAAATACCATGAATTTCTTCTATTATTTTGTAAAAGAAAATAAAAAATAATTTTAAAAAGCATCAGAAATGAGGCAGAACTTCAAAAAACAAGATGATAGGAATTCCACAACAGTTGTCCTATTGCACAATGTCTTCAAAGTAGTTGTTCAGATGACCAGATGTAAGCATGTAAAATTGGTCAAAAAAAAATTAAGCATTAACGGTTCCTTCCAGTAAACAAATAGAAATTAGTAGTACAGTTATCTTAGCCATCTGGTCTATATAATAATGCAAATGTATTAACATCCAAGTCCGAGACGGCACTCATTTGCTAAGATCTCATGGTCACTGAACCAAGGATCTGCTGCTTGTACTAAGTTCTTAGGAGCCTTGGGCTGCCCTCGGCCTGTTCACCCAGCAGCCCTTTGTGTCCTGCTCTGTGAACAGGAGCCGCAGCTCAGCCGGCTCAGACTGACAGCTGCGGAGCACCTCAGCTGGGGCGGAGGCTCATCCTGACACTGCACTTGTTGATAAGGAGTGGAGGGGCGGTCAGGGTTGACACTGGTCCTCAGACTCCAGTGCCCGTTCTGTCCTCCGTGACACAGAGGATAGGAGGTCACCCCTCCAGGCAGGTCCAGAACACAGGAGAGGGGCATGGCGCTTGGGGCTGAGGGATCTGTTGTGATTCCCCCGACACCCCATGGGGCCACGTCTGCACTCTCCAGAGTGAAGATTAGAGGCACGGAAGAGCATGGTAACATTCCTGTAGCAGTCCCCAAATTTCACATTTGGATGTACTCCTTTGGTGGACAGATACTGGGGAGCAGGGGGTCAGGTGAAGACCTTAGGGATGCACAGGGTATTGAGGGCCTCCCTTAGTGATCCGGCTTATGGGCCCATGTTTGCCCTGCTGCTTTTACCACAGCTGGCAAGCAAGAGTGACCAGTGGGGGGAGGTAGCCACTGGCTCTTCCCTCCCCACAGAGAGGCCAGCAGGCGAGGCGAGCGGCCCCCATGCACATCTCCTCTTTGTGGCATCCAGTCCCCTGCCATCAGGCCCCGTGGATTGTCACTGTCATCCTGTGGTCACAGGGGACATAGTCGACACAAGTCTTACTAGGAGAAAAGATCAGGAAAGTAACAGTGAGCCCAGTGTAGTCTGGTTCATTTATAAATGTACCCAGGAGCCCACAGTGGGGGCTGATTGAAATGAGACTGGCAGCCCACATCCCAACAGCATAATTTGCAGCCAAATATCACATTAAAAGAAGCTCCTTAGCCTCACCTGCATGCCCCGTTCACTCCCTGACGCACTGTAGCGGTTCTTGACAGAGCTGGCTCTCTCCACTTCTAACGCTTCTGCCGCTTCAGTCCTTTCAGAAGACAGCACCCTGACCTGCATGCAGCACTACGAGGAAGTCCAGACCTCGGCGTCGGACCTGCTGGACTCCCAGGATAGCTCTGGGAAGCCCAAGTGCCACCAGAGCCGGGAGCTGCCCAGAATCCCCCCTGAGAGTGCTGTGGACACTATGCTCACGGAGAGGGGCTTGGACAGTGAGCAGGGTCCAGGCACCGAGGGGCCGTACGAGGTGCTCAAGGACAGCTCGTCGCAGGAGAACATGGTGGAGGACTGCTTGTACGAAACGGTGAAGGAAATCAAGGAGGTAGCATCAGCCGCACACATGGACAAAGGCCATGGTAGCAAGTCCAGGCCAACTCCCACCCTGAAAGAGCTTCCCGGCCCCCAGATGGAGGGCAAATCTGACTTTGCTGAATACGCCTCTGTGGACAGAAACAAAAAGTGTCGCCAGAGTGTTAATGCAGAGAGCATTCTTGGGACTCCATGTGAGCTGGAAGACGAGGCCCCACCGCCTGTTCCTGTAAAGCTTCTGGATGAAAATGAAAACCTTCAAGAGAAGGAGGCAGGCACAGCAGACGAGCAGACTGTGGAGGGCACAGGCGAGACCAACAAGGTGGGCTCCAGTGCTCGGGTTTCGCGGCCTTTATCCTGATGGGGAGCCCAGCTAGTCCTGGGGGGTTAATGTTCATGCTTGATGGGAAATAGAAACTCTTGCATGTTCCCTGAAAGATGAAAGCTGTCTTAGGCTAAGCTGTGTTTGGCTCTTTCCCCCTTCAAGTCATTAAATGGTGAAAACTCATGCTTAGGAAATAGTTCTCTCAGCACCTCACTTGGCTATTTTCCAAGATTTGCAGCACGTCTAATTAGGCTGAGTATTATTTTCCTTATTTTGAAGACCAAGAATGAAACAGAGACCCTAGACTCTCTGACTCACATTGTCTCCCCTGCCTGCAGCTTTCTCAAGCAGCACATGGCCTTGGCCCTTCCAGGATCTCAGAGGTCAGGGCACAGCCACGGTACAGAGGCGCTGCCTTGCGGGTCCTGTGGTTCTACCTGACTGTGCACACTTCCCTGTAAAGCAGGAAGAGATCTTGTTTTGTGAATTTCTAAGCACTGACGGATAGCTCTGAAGCCTGGGCTTTCAAGGAAGCGCTATAAAAGTACTTTAGCAACCCACAGCCTTCTGTGTCTGAGCTGATGTCTGAACCACACATTCAGGTGTCCCAGTCTCCTAGGGATTTGAGTAGGCCCAGTCCTCTTCGGGAAGTTAATGTCATGTTTTTTCTCCACATGGATAAAAAGTCAAGTTCTCACCTACTCAGGTTGTAGTGAGAAAGACAAGTAAAGTTGGTCTGTTAGTCGTAGCCTTAAACACTTCTTGGGTTCATGGTCAGAAGGTGAAACCCAGCAATGGCTACCTAGGCCGCATATTACCACCTCTCACGAGCATCAGTAAAAATGTTTATGCACGTGTTCATAAAATGCAAAAACGTAGCCGAAGTTTTTACCTTTCATCTAACCAAGTAGTACAAGCAATGTAAACGTGTGGTACAGCAGGAGGAGACACACTGGCAATATGGAGTCACTGGGGACAGTGCAGGAACAGCTGGCTGGAATGAGGAAGGCAGACACTTGGCTGACTGAGTAGAGGGAGAACAAGAGGGAGTCATCTGAGTGATTATGTGAACCACTCCTTTAAGGAGTTTTCTGAAGAGAAGTGAGGCAATAGAAGGATCTGGGAGTGGGGCTGGCTTTGTGCCTTGTTTTGTCTCGTTTGGGAGTAGACAGAGGTGACGGTTTAAAGGGGAGAGCTGACAGTGCAGACAAACAGAGTCACCAGAGAGCAGTGGGAAGGGTGGCCCGGTGTCAGGGAGGGCACTGCCAGCGAGGGTTGTAGCAGACACATCCATGGTCCCCAGGAGCAGGGGAGATGGCACGGATACATCTTCTTCTCCTTTGCTCAGCTTTCTCAGTGAATTAGGAAGCAAGATCCGTGGCTCACAGTGAGGCTGAGGGAGGAGTAGACAGTGCCAAGTGGAGCTAGGACCGCAAGGACCTCATGCACGAGGGAAGCAGCATGTGATCTAGGGCAGCATGTGAAGGGTCAAGTCCACCCAGACCTGGGAAGGGGCCGCAGTTATGCCGGGTGACTCTGGAATTTAGGGTTGGAGAAGCAGGAAGGAAGGACACTGAGGAGGAGGGGGACACAGGAAGGATGGCTGGATCACAAGTGCCGAAGGATTGCTGGAACTGGATTATGAGGAGAGAGTTTGAACAGTGAGTGTCGGCCCGAAAGAAGTTCCTAGGAGCTGGGGTGTGGGTGCAGGAGAGCTAGGGTCTGGGTGCAGTTGTAAGGGAAAGTGGGGTGTCAGAAGGAGCCCAAGGTCAGTGCAGGGAGAGGAGGTCCAGAAAATCAGGCAATTTGGAAGGACAGATATTTGTTGAAATCACAATTAAGACAGAAAAAATATAACAGACAATTAGCAAGCCAGGAGCCAAAATCATTGAGAAATGAGGCAAGGGGCAAGCTTTAGAGAGCGGGTTGAGTTGTTTAACTTCAAAAAGCTCCAAAAATAGCCTACAAAAATATAAACCATAGAAACGTAGAATTCTGTGACCTATAGAAGTGAACGATTCTGGCATTTGATAAAGAAGAGCTGCCAATTATCCAGCCTTCATTGACGACCATAGTTTCAATAATTATTTTGTCCTTACCTGTACCAGCAGACTTAAACATTAAATTAGAAGCAATTTCTGTCTATGTAACACTGCTAGGTATCCAAGAACATCAGACAATAACAGATTGTGCAAGTGTTTTTTTTTCTTGAGTACCTTGCATAATTACTTTGTGTTCCATAGAAATAATTTGAAAACATTTATATAGACAGATATGTGAAAACATATGCCCAAAAAAGGTTGTATTATTGGATTCAAACAAGTCTGCTTTGGTCTGTGTTTATTCTGACAGAGATTTAGCTCACTGTCCTACAAGTCTCGGGAAGATGATCCAACTCTCACTGAAGAAGAGGTAAGTTTTCTTTCTTTTTAAGTAACCAGAAAGGTGCTGTAAGGAAGACTAGAACGTCTCCCCTTGCACAGGTGCACTGGGCCAGCTCGCTGTGTCTGAAAGAGCTGAAGTGCTCTATTTTGCCTCAGCGTCATGGTCAAGATGAGGTGTTGGCTTTGTGTTTAGGGAAGGTGACCAGCAGGTGGTAAAGCAAGAAGGGTGACAATGCCCAGGTCAGCTAAGGAGAAGAAACTGAGTGGGACAGAAAACTCAGACAAATATAGAAAGGAGAAGGGGGAAAATAAGAATGAGATGAAAGAAATGTCAGTCTAGGAGTCAACAACAAGGAAGTGCACGTTAGAAGGATATAATAGTGGAAAATTCAGGAAATCAGACTATGTGAAGGCAGCAAATATGATCCCACCTGGGAGACAGGGCGAAGGTCTCAGTAGGAATGTGGGGTGAAGAGTAGCTGTAAGTAATGCAGTTCCAGGCTAGAACTCAGGGCCAACAGAGTAGCCAACAAAAATACATATTCCCAAGTACCAGGGCAAAAAAATCACTAGTCAGACTTTTAATGAAGCCTAAAATCATAAAAGCTGGCAAATGTGGAGCTGGGCTGAGACCAAGGACTCAGCAGCTAAAGTCAGCTCCTGATAGCTCCTACCTGGTACTCTCTGCGGAGGAAACCACTGGTACAGGGAGAAACACTGATCTCAAGTGGGTGACCTCCAAACAATCCAGAGAACCTCCAAATGACATACGGAAAAAGAATCTCCCAACCTGACCTGCACGAGTTCATGTTCTCTAAAACTGAAGATTGAATTTTAGGAACAAACTGAGGTTATGAGCAGAATATATTTATTGAGAGAAAGAAAGTTCCTGTCCGAGAGAGGGGCAGGAAGGGGGCCCGAGCGGGTAGTTCCCTGGGAAGCTGTCACTTCCAGGGACTTTTATAGTGTAAAACCATGTGGGGCTAAGGTGGAGAGAATGGGAACTCACTTAGGTGGATGTGGGGTGGGACAAAACTATGGTCAACCAGTGGGATTACAAGCACCATTGCTCAGGTAAAATTGATTAGGCCCAGGACCAAATGGGGTAGCGAGTCACGTATCAAGCGGGCATGAATGTAAAATAGGACCTTATCTGGTGGCCTTCAGACAATGATTCTTCCTCAGTAATGATCAATCCTGGATGCCATTCTTTAGGGAGGTTAGCATTTGTTTGCTCTTTAGGTCTGGCTCATAGAAGGAGCATCCGTCCCTCCCACAATTGTAAAGTATCTTGTCCTCTGTGTTATCTCCTTTGAGGGCCTGACCCTGTCTGACTGCCTATAATATTTCTATCTAACTGGGCTGCCTACAACACCACGAGGCGGGGGAGGGAGAGGAAGAGGGAGACAGAGACAGAGACAGAGACAGAGACACATGCACGTCCTTCACCTCCAGTAGAGGACTTAAATATTAGAATGTGAAGACAGATGCCCACGTAGAAGTTCAAGGACAGAAGTGCTTTCTGTAGGTACACTTCCTAACTTGCTGTATGTATCTTCCCTTCCCCTGGAATGGACCTGCTGTTGGTCTGCCTGGTCCCATGCCAAAGCTCTGGGGATCACCCTTGACACCGCCTTTCTCTCAGTATCTCATGTGCAGTCAGTCACCAGGTGCCCTGCAAGTACACCTGCAAACCCTCACGCACCCCCCACTCTGGGCCACCCTTTGCCACTGCTGCAGGGACTCCCCTTGACGGCTGCTTCTAGTCTCTCTTCTACAGCCAGAGGACTCCATTTAGGATACAGAAGTAAAATATAAAGGCAATCTGGAAAGAAATACCTCGTCATGAATAGATTCTATGTCAAATGTTAAAATACTTTGCTTCTTGTATTTGTGGTTTATGAAAACATCTAATACTATTGAGGAATTTTCAACATAAAGAACTATAATTTACAAACATTCATTTTAGAAAAGAAATAGAGAAATCACTTGTTTTTATATCCCTGTTGTGTTAGACAAGCCCCAGTTAAAGCCAGGGTCTGTGCTTTAAATACTGCTGTGCCAGTTCAAAAGAGTGGGGAGGTAAGAGCTAATTATAAAAATGATGAGAAATGGGGGAAAGGAAAGAATAATTTTGAGACTACAATAAGAGTTCACCAAACGTGTAGCAAAGATGAAAGATTTTAAAGACAAAAAATTGAAATAGCTAAATAGCAAAGGGAGGGCATAAAGAGCAACTTGTACCCAAACTAGAGATGATACCTATTGGTAGAAGACAAGTATTCTAAAGAAATATTAGAGGGCTTGAGAAGCTTTTATGAAAATTAGGATTCTGGGGACACCAAATGCGTGCACATGAGGTCCCCTCCCAGAGTCAGTCTTGAGCTATGAGTTGCTGAAAAAGCCTGTAATTTTCAAGTGCTGAGGCCTAAGGGCCTAAGGATTCTCCCCCAAGGAAGAAGGGGAGGGAGAGGGGAGCAGGATGTTAATGGCAGGGGCCACAAGCAGGAAAGTTGTGAAACAAAGCAGGTGTCCCTGCTATGCAGGTTACCTTTAGGCACATCTGTCCCCAGTGCTGTTGCTATGGTGGATAGGAATAAACTGCTGTGCTGATCCCCTGACCACTGTCATCGGGGTTCACCCCTTTATCATCCATCCTCCTACTTGGCTCAGACCACCTTTTAGGTAATCGATTTCACAGGTGTGGATGGCACTGTGAAAATCCTCAGATTTTGTTGTCTTCTTCCTGTATCCAAAGAAATTCTAGATTTTATTTTGAGAGCACTTTCTTCACTGAGGAAGAGGGAGCCCCACCCTCCCGTTCCTTAGTTGGTAGCTGTGGCGAGTCTTCCCAGATGACTTCTCTCTCAAGGCCTGGAAAAACAGAGCCTCCAGCGGGTTGGGAAGAGTTGTCGTGTCAATGGCTGGTTACCGTGTGGCAGGCCTGTCTTCAGCAGCTTCCTGGGCAGGCGACTGGCCTCGAGCCCACGGCGTATGAGCCATAGGAAAGCAGGAAAGCACCCCTCGGCACTTGGGAGCCAGGCAGCTGTCAGGAAACGTGTTTGTTTATTTCCTGGGTATTAGAATGAATGAGTTACTGTGAATAAATAAACAGAGGTACAGAAAGGTATGCTTTACTTGTTTCCAACCGCGATTTATAACAAAATAATGCTATTCTCAGATACTGCTTAATGCACATGTTTAATCTGTGTTATTGAGAAATCTCTTTTGATATTAAAGCTTTACAGAGCATGTTAACAACGTCACAAAGGTGTGTTTAAAAGACAGCCTGCTCTCATGCTGGGCATGGTGGCATGGGCTGTAATCTCACCACTTGGGAGGCAGAGGCAGGAGAGTTGCCCTGAGTCCAAGGCCAGCCTGGGATTCATAATGAATTCAAGCCAATATGAACTATATAATGAGACCCTGTCTCAAAAAAAGAAAGAAAAAAAGAAAAGATCCTGCTCTTAGCATGGGAAAAAGTGTCCCATGAGCACTCACCAGATGTCATTTCTGACTTGGCTGCTTGCAGATAAGAAGGAATTTTCCACAGAAGAAATCTGAGCCTGGTGTGCAAATGAGTTTTAACCAATAACATACTCCAGGTCAGAAGAGGATACAGCATGCAGTATTGACAGGGCTGTGCACATGTACGGCAGCCCTCACACAGGAGTGTGGGGTAGTCCAAGTCAGTGGGTCTCACAACTCAGTGGGCATCACCTTGTGGGCTCCCACCCAGCAGTCTCGGAGCCAGAGGTGTGGGAGTGAGGCTGAGCATTTGCCCCCTGGTAAATTCCAGTGTCCTGCTGCTGGTGGTGGGAAGCTCCCATTTGGAAAAGCACTGGTCCAGTAGATGTTTTCTGTCCTTTTTGGGAAAGCAGTGGAGGCCTTCAGATGCAGCCTCATTGTGATAGATCAAAGCTTGGTGTGTGGCCATGTCCTGGGGCTGCCAGAGCTCCCTCCTCCTGCTGTCCTCAGTCACTTCGGTAGACTAGAATTCAGCCTGCACAGGATCAAGCAAATATGATCGATCTACTTACAAAGCTAAGGATAAGGTCTGTCTTTCATTTCTAGGAATGAAGTCAGAATTAGTACAGATAATGAACACACACATGCACACACATGCTCACACTCGCACACATGCTCACATGCACACACACACACACACAGACTGGTGCCCATGAGGGCTAAGTATGCAGCTTAGCACTGGAAAGGGAAGGAAGAGTCTCAGCCTGCAGCTGGAAGCATGGTTATTCACTTCGCCCTTTGTTTTCTAGATCTCAGCCATGTACTCATCAGTGAATAAACCTGGACAGTCGGTGCACAAATCAGGACAGTCACTTGCAGCACCAGAGGCCACCTCCAACTCTATGCAAGGGACTCCTCAGAGGTCACCCTCTTCCTGTAATGACCTCTATGCTACCGTGAAAGACTTTGAGAAAATGCCCAGCAATGTCAATGCCCTTCCACTAGCGGGGAGACCCAGTGAGGAGCAGGAGCCGGACTATGAAGCAATACAGACTCTCAGCAGAGAGGAGGAGAAGGGCCCCCTGGAGACCAACGGCCACCATGGCCTTGTCCCTAAGGAAAATGACTACGAGAGCATTGGAGACCTACAGCAATGCCGGGATGTCACCAGGCTCTAGCAAGGCAGAATTCTCCAGAGAGCTTGTAATTAGCATCTGGGGCCAGTTCTGCTATGGACGATAGGTGCCATCAACCTACCTATATGCTGCTTTGGTAAACTGAAGACACCTGCATCTGCTGTGACTGTTCTCCGGTGCGGGCCTGGTTGCCCTGCATGTGTTCCTGCCTGCCTGGGGACAGGCACACCCCAGCACGTGCACAAACTCCGTCTTAACCCTCACCCTCCTCAGAGGACCCCAGCTTCAGGGATTCGTCCCACAGATGAGAACTCCAGTCCATTTGCCTGAAATACTGCCATTCAGAAGAGCCAGGTTTTTCTTCCTCTCTTCTCTTTCCTCTTCTGCTACTAACTTTAAAATGTACGGCATTTTCCCCTTGAGATCCTCTGGTTTTTTATGGCTCGTTCCAAGGAAATCCTCCATCGGCCTTGGCACTGGCCTTCAACACAGACACGTTTGGAAGATAAAAGCCTGTGGTGGCAGCGCCTTGGTCCTCGTCCTGGAGCTGTCCAGTCAGCCCTGGGAATCCACACTGCAGGACAGTAGGGTTGGGGCAGCGTGGCCCTTGTGTCTCTTGGGGCCTTGTCCTTCTCACGTCGGCACTGCAAATCAGCACCTTTCCCCGAAGCACTTGCAGGCAGTTTTAAATGCTTTATTTTTCTAGTCAGAACTATTTTTCCCCCAATATTCAGAAACTCGCCAGAACCTTTTTCAGTATTTTCAACAAATGTCATGGTACTTCTACATTGTGTAGGCCCAGGACTCATTCCTTCAAATCAGAGAGCCTTAATCTGTACATTGGGGCACAGGCCACACGTGTGCGTGGCAGCGTGGCTTCCCTCCCCAAGGCCGTGGGCCTGATGTGTAGTTCCAGTGAGGTCTGCCGCCACCCCAACAGTGTGGACTTGCCCAGGTTATATCCTACCTTAAGGTAATCTAGCTATAATTAAAATGTAAACATTTATTTTTCTTATGTAAATTTATAAGATGTTTTATGTTTAATGCCTAATTTCTAGAAAGTGCCAGAAAATGTATATTAACTATTTTGATTTTATGTACAATGATTTATACTCGCATCTTGAAAAGACACCCTAAAGCACATAAGCTAAAATGATAAGCAGCTTTATTCTTTTTTTTCAAATAAGTTTTTAAAATGTTGAAGGTTTGTTAAAGACCCAGCTTTGCAATGGTACTTTGAGTTTCTAGTCCAAATCAACTAAACTACTGGAGAAATAAATGCAGTGGGCATAAATAATCACTTTTCCATGGCTGGGGTGAGCAATATTGAAATATCTAAAATGAAAAAATACAGCTAATTAATTATGAATGTCCTAAAAGTATCATACTTTTATTAAAAGTTTAATGACATTTTTGAAGAAAACAATAAAGAATTATACAGCCCAGTGCTTGCTAATGCAGATTTGGTATTAGAATTGTTTTTTTTTCTTTTTCCAAAAAAATCACTGGCTGAAATAGCTCAGATGAAGAACTCAGCCTGGTTTGAATTTAACCATCATTTTAGATCTTATAAGGCCACCATTGGAAAATTTCTCATTTTAAGAGGAGCCTAGTTAAAGTACCATCATGAAGTGTGGGCCCCAAAAGGATAGCGTGTCCTGCACTGATAAAGCAATGAGGCCATCATCTTATGCTCTGTGACATGTGTGACTATAAAGATTTAATAATCTTGCTGTTTTCCCTCTTTCTGACAAAGAATGAGATTTGGGAGAAACAGCTTGAAAACTGTAGAGCCCACCTCGCTGGCACGTGTTTCTGACCTTATATTCTTGGACTGGCTTTGTGACTGCTCTGTGAAACCGTTAAGCGAACCTGGAGGCACTCGCTGATTGGATGTCACTATCTTTCAGTGAGCCTGGTCTCTCGCAGGAAGACGTCGTGTGCATAAGCACAATCGTTATTGATCAGACAGTATTGGCGGAATACCCTTCAATCTACTGAGTGAACGTTTCCAGGAAAATGCAAGCCCTTCCTCTCTGAATTCAGTTCTTTCATAAGCACTGATTTGCCTGCTGATTTTCACCATTTTGTATTCCTAAGTTTGACCCAACAATCTCTCAGGTCACAGGTTCCCTCAGTGCACATCGATTGCTGTGTCGCCACACACCTCCATGGTACGGCTCACTGTCATAGAGCTCAGAAGTTTTATTGCATTTCCTAGCATCTTTCTTACCACTAGGGAAGTAGGTATGATCTCTGAAGTATAAAACCCTTTCACTATTAAGAGAAAAGTTCATTATAAAAAATCATGTGACCTTCCAATTTCAAGTTTTCAAATACAAGTTATGTATGCAGTCTAATCATAAAATATGCACTGAAATATCTCTCTTAACTTGAGCACCAGTGAAAAGAGTAAGTTGTGACAGTATTTTAAAAGGAACGGGAAGACCCTCTAGCAACAATTCTGAAAGAATGGATGACAGAAGAGTCCATGGGCCTGGGGAGGGCAGCGTAAGTGTCAGGAAGAGAGCTGTCCTCCTCGGAGCACTGGGAACTACCTGGCAGCACATTTACTGAAGTATGTCATTGTTTTCTCTTTATTGTGCAGCTTTCATAAATTCCGTTGCTTTCACTTTCTTCGAAATCTGTG